AGCATATACAGCGTTATAAAAACTTCATCAAAATACTTGAGTAGATTCAACACAAAGATTTTTTTAAATATTGAATTTTATTTGTATTTGTACCAAGGATTTAACTAAGAACGAAGGTATTCTTTAAACACTGGACCATTTCGTCTTTTATATTATGAGACTCAGGAGTACCTTTTTATGTAAGTACTGAAAATGAACCATATTTGATGTTAAAAGTTGTAAGTACTTACTCTAAAGCTTAAAAATGTTAATATATTCTAATATTTAGTTAACTTTATAACTTTTGTTCTTATTTAATTATATTTTATGCTGTTTTTACCGCTTAACAACACAAGACAAAAAATTATGTCATTTATTTTCCCATTCCCATTCTTAAATATATTTTTGACTAAACAATTCAGGACATAAGAGAAATAAAGCACGAAATAAAACCTGAACGTTTACTGAGGAAATACGAGAATATCTTCGAATCTGCGTATACAGAGGCTCAATGTTAAATGAAAGACATAAAGAGGACAGGAAGAAATAAATGCTTTATTGTTACGTACATTTTTGCTTTATGGCTTTACTTACGTACGTACCGTAAAGTACCTACTTATAAATCACATTTTAAATTTATTGTAGTTTTTAACTGAAGAGGATTTTGAATAAGAACTGATGCTATATCTATACATATAATAATATTATAACTGAATCGAATCTGTAAAAAATCTGTATTAAATATTTTTTGGAAAATCTTATTGAAATTGTCATTATTATCAAAACACGGACTGAATCTATAGTTTTTACAATTTTTTTCTGTTTGTCCGTCTGTCTGTCTGTCTGTTTGGGAACGCATCACGAGAAAATCACTGGACAAATTTTGATGGGTACGTTATTCGGGTCAACATATTGGATACTTTTTAGTGCGGGAAAATATCTCATCCCTGAGAAATCGATACTAAGCTTTAAAACGAAGTTTAATATAAAAATTATGCTTTTTGATACGTCTACACTAAATTTGCGTGATAATATAAGATCAATCTTATCAACATATCGACTGGTCCTACGTATACTAGTACAAGTGCAAAAAAGCAACTTTACAGGAGAGCGATTCAAACATTCTAAAGCTTGTAACTTTCACATAGTTCAACAGAAATCTTTGAAATTTTGAAATGTAATACCTGAGTCTTATAGGAAAAGGGCTGTGTAATTAAATTTTAATATTTTTTGTTATTTTAGAAAATAATGTCAGTTGTATTTGCGTAGCCTATTCTTCCTTAAATATTAAAACACATAAAGTAGTACAAGTGATCACTTATATCAGTATACGTGTACTAATTTTTTTACAAACCAAGGCAAATAGAAGGACAAATCAATATAAAATATGCATATCCGTGGTTACTGATAAATAATTGAAGCTCGTGATATTAAAAATAATGATCTTTATCAATTTTTATCACTTGCACCACTTTACTAAGTACTGAAAACTACTTGTATCACTTCCAAAATATTAAAAAAAATAAAGGTCTATTACAAATAATATGATAACCAAACAAATTAATGGTTTTACCATTTTGGAACAAAAAATAAAAAAGAAACAATTATTCTTAGGAGGTAGGAACTATCGTCAACTGTAATATGAGGTACCTAGTTATTAGGGCAGTAAATATTTATTAGTATTTAATTAGTCTTCCAAATATTATTAATATCTAGTAACAAAGTTATTAAAAATATAAAAAGAAACAAACGCATTTTCTAAATAATCAAAATAAAACTTTATTATTTTACTAAAACGAAAAGAAAACCAAGTCCTTCTTAAGTAGGAACGATCGTTAAATTAATTATTCATTTAGTAACTCTTTAATTATTGGCTTTTCTGGCTAATTAAAATAAAATATCGCTTAGTCACCTAATTAAGTAAAATAAAACAACAATCGAAGCGGTGGTAGGAATAAAATACAAAAAAGAGAAAGGCTGATAAATATAGCCTAGTCAGATAGGTCTCCACTATTCTCGGATCTAATTTTCAAATTCTTATAATATAAATGCTATCGCTCAGGGATTACAGTCGAAATACAAAGATCTTAAAGATCTTTGCATTTTTTTATCAATTGCTAATAAGCTTTTGTAAGCTACATCTAAGCTATCAAATTTTTTAGTAACATTTTGTATGGCGGTTCGTGTGTTACTTCTTACACATTGTGTAGTTTTATAGGCATCTTTTTCAAAAGTATATTTGTAATTGAGCTTAAATAAATCTTTGGCCTGAACACAAATTTTATTCCACATCACAAGCTCTCCAATACAGTTCTTCTTCCAGTTATCAAAAAAGGTAAGACACGACTTAAAATCAAAAATTAAAGATTGAGTAACATCTTTTACTATGTATGGTTTTGCATTAGCAGTGGCCATTTTGAAGGCAAGAGACCTGGAGTATAAATCAAAACATTTCTGGTTTTCTTTTCTATTACGGAGTGAATACTGTTACCCTCGTTCTGGATGTGACCAACAACAAGAAATCTATTAGTAATATTCACGTTAAATTTCCAAGAGAAGAACCATTCTATTTCTATTCTGGCCTCCACAATTTTCAGACCAGAATATAAAACTTTTAACTCCTTCCCTCACCCTCATACCAATAAAATCAAAAACACATACAGCTCCTTTTTTCGCAATTTGTTAATCCCAACAATAACAATACCCTTGCAGATCACCCGTGTCAAATGGGGTAAAATTATGAAAATGTACTTTTCTCTTATAATAAAATATGCTAACATTGCCATGTGGTAAGCTTTGTATTTTTTTCAAATCGAAAGTAACAGCGACTACAGTTTTATCATCCTTAGATATTTTTTGTCCAAAAATTGTTAAATATATCGTACCTTGCCATTTCTTCCACTTTATCAGCATATTTACTAGGAGCTTTCATTTCTTTCTGTTTAGTTATTTATCCAGTCCTACTTATATATTCTAAGCCTCTGTTTTTGTTTTTAAGTTGTATTTTCGTTTCTCATCTAGCCATGTTCAGGAAGTTTTTTCTGCTTAGAAAAGAAGAAGAAGATAAAAGCTGTGGTTCACGCTTTCTTTCTTGTGTATTATGAACGATCACACAAACTTCCTGGTCCTTAAAACATGTAGTAGAACTCTCAGAATCTGACGAATTGTTTGATAAATTTCGATATAAATTTTCAACTGTTGGTGTTTCCTCGAAAAAGTCTTCTGGATTGTTTAAATTAACAACAGTATTGATGAACGACATTTCTTCAGTAAATAATTCCGCACTCGGAGGGAAGGGAAAATCTAAAAAACATATCATATAAATGCATTTAAAATACTAATAATTAGTTTTTAAGGGAAAGTTTTCAGCGTAAATAATACTAGGATTTTGATAATACGTAAATAAAACAAAGTTCTTTAAAAACATATATTTCATAATAATGTAGTTCATTCCAAACATTTACTTAATGTTGTAAAATATTTATGTATTTTAATTGAATCCCACTCATGTCAAAAATGTTGGTGACTAATGTAACATATATCATTATACTTATAAAACATTTGCAAAAATCATCAAATCAAGCCGTGTATACTGATATAAATGCAAAATTAGACAAAGGGAATTCACAAACAAAAAAATAACATTTTACATATGTAGTATAACATTTTTATCTGGCTTATGTGATAAGTTTTCATTTGCGAATTGTAGATTTTCATTGAAATCAACCGGTTCTGTAATTCGGTACATATTCTTTTTTTCCAAATTTAGCTGTAATTCCTCACAAGGTCTGCATGTTGATAATTTAAGTGGTTCTAAAATCCAAATCAAAAAAATGTATTAATGCATTTAAAAAAAGTTTATACTATTAATAAATAAAAAAAATCACTTGCACCAATATACGCGAGTACACAAAATAGAATACGTACTTTGTCTACTAGTGCAAGTGATAGTATAAATAAACTGTACATTATTTAATTTATAAAACAGTCACAAACAATTAAATTAAATCTTAATTAATCATTTCTGTGTTGAAAATAATAAATTGATTCTTACCTTCGAAATTTTCGAGTGTTTTAGTTTTGCTGCATTTTTTTTCTACTAAATGTATCATTTCATAGCTTCATGATTATTATTTATTATCATAGTAATTCAACATAAACATAAACCTTATAAAAATAAGTAATTTTTAACAATTGCATAAATAAACCTGAAATCATTGCACTTGTACCAATGTAACACGTTAACTCTGTAGCGGCGCCACGTGTATACTGATGTAAAGGTCACTTACACGCTTGTGCCGCGTGGATTGTAACCATCTACATTAGTGCAAGCGACTTGCATCAATGTTGACAGTCGTGTAGTTTAAAATACCGTCACTTGCACCAAATGACAAGTTTGTAACTTTGAAATTTATTGATATTTTAAAATAAATTTCACAGGGTATAAAATATAGGTTATTCTAAAGCTATTGATGCAAAAAAACAGTTTTCATGATTTTGTCGGTTATACTAGTATACGTAGGACCAGTCGATATTATGTTTATTGTACCAAAAAAATGTGTCAATTAGAAATCACAGCAAGACGTGATGATTTTGGATTACTATATCAAAATACATAAATGCGAAAGTTTTAACGTGTGCGTAAAGTTTGTTACTCTTCAAGCTGAGACGGATTTGGATGAACTTTGTACACAAATAAACTTTGACTAAGAGTAACATATTGGCTATATTTGGCACCGAGGGACGCCTAAGCGAAATGAGGGAACGTTGCAAATTGCTAGTTGTATATAAAAATAAAATATCACTCATTGACTTACTGACTAAAATTTGTTTTCGATTTTGTTAGTAGCCACTAAAGAGTTGTTCTATCTATTTTCTGCCTCCAGATTACCAAACTATATAAACTATTTTATCTCTGTGATGAACCCATATCGATCAATCCTTCCAAAAATTAAAACTACATAAGACGAGATAGGCAATTCGAATATTTAGAGTTTTCTATATGTTAAAATTGTACTCACAGTTATCAGGACAGAGCGATCCGTCGAAGCCACACTTAGGAGTATCCGGTGGGGGGGTGATCCTACCCCCCGCCCAATGTATTGGGCGGTTCTCGACAAACTGCAAGGACGAGTTCGCTGCCACGTAAGTCGCAACTACCTGGAAGATATCTTTAGCTATAGAAATTAATTTTAGTAATATTTCTTAGTATTTATTATAGCTTTTTACTAAGAACAGTGAATTTGAATGTTATATAATATACGTAAATTAAACAAACATATTTATTTGTACTTAAATCATAATATTATGTTAATTTAAAATACTCTTGTCATTAAAAATAAGTAATATCTTTTAATAGTATTACTATCACAAAGCAAAAATTCAAAAGCATATACATTATACAATATTTTTCAATATATATGTATACTTTTTCCTTTAAGGGTTTATTTTCGTCTATATTTAGATATTATTAGATGTGGATAATTTTAGAGAATGATAATATCAAATAACGACAATATAAAATGAAAGTTTGTACAAAACTACCTTTTAGGGGTTTTTTGTAGTTTTAGCGCGAGAGAAGCCGCGGCTTCTACTAGTTTATTATATGTTATATACAATAACAGGCTACTCAACAAAAGATTGCGGATGACAAAACTAGAATATAATGAATTGTAACATTCGAACTAGTGGCGTGAAGTCAAGGCTAAATATCTTTTATGCGCCCAAAAAACCAACCCGAGCTTTCGACAAACGCGTAACTACAGTTTAATGTTATTATTATCATAATTTAGTATAATAAAGTGATACTTAACAGCTTTAAAGCTCAGTGTAGTTCCAGCATTAAGTAATTAAATAACGTTACTAACTGTCGTTATTGAGCGAAAAATGACTACCATCCCTCCTCGAGCTTTTACATAACACCTAACATTATAAATAAGTTACGCATACGTATATATATTTAATATTTAAAAAAAAAAGATTTATTTGGATTTTTTCGTGGATTTAATTTTGATTTTTAGATCTCGACGTTTCTCCCGTCACCATATATGCGAAATGTCGAGAACCAAAATTATATTTATTTCAAATTATAAATTCTATTACAAGTAGCATGTTAAGTTGTCGCAACACCAATTTCTAGAGTTTACAAAATTTGATGAGGGTTAAACCAAATTAGGGTTCAGTATAAGAGCCCAGTGATAATATGCTCGCTTTGAAAACCAAGGGATTCAGGTTCAAACCTCGGTATTTGCACCTTTGATATTTTTATTTACGTTACAAATAACAAAAACAAATGTGAACAAACATTGTCATGTCTAAGAGAACTTAGCAAATTTCCCGTAAGACATTAACGTAATAAGGCTACTTTGCTTCATAGTAAGATTCAAATGAAAACCTCTCAATCTATTTTACCTGACAGTAATTGCTTGCTAAAATATAATTATATCTACTGATATTCAAAAAGACGTTATGACATATTTTGAAGCCTCTCTAGGGATTATTATAGATTTTCTCGTACAATTATTTGGACTTCATTTTTGAAATACCTATTAGGTGATAAAAAAATACTAGCTATGTATTTAATAATATAACTTTTTAAAGTTTTTTATAATCGATTAAATCGGTTTGAAATAAACAAACAAACATCATAATTCAAGGCGATAATGTAGCATTTGCTATTTTTTGTTTATTAATACATAATCAATATAATAAATAAAATAATTAACATAATTTAATTAATTAACAAATGAACGTTTTTAAAAAAAATATAGATTCACTGTGCAAGTATTTAGTACTTCGTGCTACAAAATTGTAAGGAAAAAAATTAAGAAGAAAAAAAAATTATGAGTATGTTTCCAATCTTTTTTATTTGATAACTAAAGTTTATCAATAGCTACTAAGCAAAAAAATGGTTGGCAAACAGAGAAGACAAAGTACTAAGCCGTTTTGTCTTTGCCTATTTATATTATAAAGATACAATATTGGAAAAGTTTATAACGAACTTAATATAGATGGCTGGCAATTTAAATGTACTATAATTTTGGCTATAAAAAATAATAATAAATAAATAAAAACGTTGGAACATTAACATACAACACCATCTAGTTCTATGGTAAGCTACGAGGCCTGTGTTATGGATACCAGATAGGTGATACGCTACACATATATAACTTTAAATACATACATATAAATATATACACCCATGACTGGAGTACAAACATATATGCCCATCACACAAATGAATGCTCCCAGCGGGACTCGAACCCGCGACCGTAGGGACTGCAAGTAGGCACCCTACAAACTGAGTTAAACACTGCCTATCAAAGTTACCTGAACATATTTGCATATGACCGTGCTAACTATATTAATTTCTTAGCGTCGTTCAGTCATAAAGCAGCTAGCATCATAATTACACCCATCCAGTAGCTTATGCAATATACAGATATCTCACGGGAAATTGTACTAGGATAAAAAGCGTTGTCACAAACTGTCTCTATGTAAAAACCAACAAGTCGTTGTGCTATTTCTTCTTAAAGGTTTACTTAAAAAATTTTTTATAAATACCTATACTATGCCATACTTTATAATATTATAAATGTGAAATTGTGTTTGTTTGTCCTTTTTTCACGTCAAAACTTTTTGGAGAGTGGTCATAGTTGTAGAGCTGAAGAATGACGTAGAATACTTTTTACCGCGGGAGATTATATCATTTCCGCGACAAAACACACTATAATAGAACACACAACAACTCAACATACCTTTGTATTATATACACAATAAGTATATAGTATATCTATTCCATATTAACCGTTAAAACGTACCTAAGGCGAACCCGAGCGAAGGAAGGTGATTCGCTAGTAATATTATAAAATACTCCTATTTATAATATTAAATATGTAGGCGTGCTTAGAAAGCTTTTTGCGTTTTATTTTAATTTACAAGAAATTGCTTTGGATTAAAGAACTCGTATCAAATTAGACACGATTATTTTCTTGATGTCGCTCAGTCGTAAAATCGCTAAGATTCTAATTACACCCTCTAGTAACTTATGAGATGTACTAATAAGTAATATCACGTAGACGTGAATGTGACGTACCTACTAACATAAGAAAACATGCATATAAACATATATATACATACATATCACAAATTGTATTTATGCATAAATCAATATGTCGTTTTGCTTCTCAATAGAAACTAAAGAATACTTTATTTATTTTTCATTAATTAATACAGTCTTAACTACGTGTAGAGGGTAGATTTTGAGATGGGACAGTAAGGTTAAGTACTTTAACTGCTATAGTTACACGAAAACGTTCCTGGGAGACCATTCATAACTTTTTGAGATATTCTGAATTGCATTCACAGATTTTGGAAAAAATGTACCTACACTTAGCGAAAAAAATACTAAAATACCAAAAAAAAATTTTTATGTCAATCGATTCTGTTTCATCTAGGGAAAAAAAAACTTTCTGGGACCATTTAAGGTATGAGTACTAGAAATGACAAAAATCGCCAAAAACTTTTCCTATATATTTTGTAAGGAAAAACGATTAATCAAGTTGAAATATTCTTTGTTGATAAACGGTCCTATTTCTTACTGTGATCAAAAGACAGAAACAGGCCAACAGAAGTTTAAGTACATAAACTACGTTAAGTCATAAGACCGGGTTTACACGCAGGTATTTTATGCAGCGGATATAAAATAAATTTTTCAGTTTTTGCTAAGCCGGTCTCGTGGCACTGTACCGTGCCTAGAAGCAAAAGTACCTACCTAAGTAGAAAATCATAATTGCATAACAATAGTATGACAGTTAAGGTATCTGACTTTTCCATCCCGTCTCAAAAATCCATCCTGTGTAAATACTCTTATTTATAGTAGTACCTGGGCGACCGAGCTTCGCTCGGAGTTTTTGGCCGACAAAACATTAAAAAAATCAAACTAAAAATTTGAATAAATTAAAAAAAAAAACTTTGCATCCGATCGGGATACGAACCCAGACACCTGCGGTTGTCAAACTTGCGCTTTAGCCGCTTGACCACGATGCTTATGTCCTAGCGTGCGAATTAGTAACCATATTTTGCGTGGAATAATGCGAAACAAAACCGCATGAAAACTCGAAAACACACGTTTTTCCAGACATAAAACTAATCTAGATCAATTTATCGCCCCCGAAACCCTTTATATACTAAATTTTATCCAAATCGTAGGAGCCGTTTCCGAGATTCAGATTAAATATATAGAATTGCTGGTTTAAATATATAAGATTAGTTAATTTTACTAAGAAAATCATTAATATTTATTTAAAACTGCATTTAATTAAAGAACTTTTTACATAACTAGCGGCTCACCCTCTCTTCGCTTAGGTTTGGTTCCAGAAAAACAAAAACGAATCTATCCCACGGGATCCGCACATTTTTCAGGATAAAAAGTAGCTTATATGCTATTCCAGACTACATTTATCTCTGTGCCAAGTTTCATCCAGATCCATTTAACCGTTCTGCCGTGATTGAGTAACAAACATCCAAACATCTAAACTTTCACATTTATAATATTGGTAAGATTAAGACAAAAGATCAATAGACGCTGACATCAAAAGGACTGAGCAGATTTTAATAGAACTCTATTCAAATACAAAATGCTATTATATTACTAGACCTATAGAAAAACCTATAGAAAAATAAATGAACGTAAGATGAAGAAGAACGAAACCATATCGGCTTCAGTTATATAAAATGTATTGAGAAAATATGAAAAGGTACATTAGGTTTATTATATCTTACATATTTTTTCTTACATAACGTTCCTTAAGTAATTATTATTTGAGCTATCTTATGATTATGTCGTTAATGAATGTTTCTATTGACAGAAGATTATTTATTACTAGCGACTCATCCTCGCTCCGCTCGGGTTCGTCCCTAGTTACGTTTTAACGCTTAGTATAGATTTCTCAGAGATGAGATATTTTCCCGCAGTAAAAAGTCCTATGTGTTGACTCGAATAATCAGCTATCATCATACAAAATTTCATCAAAATCTGTCCAGTGGTTTTTTCGTGATGTTTTTCCAGACACACAGACAGACAGACAGACATAAATTCAAAAAACTATAGATTCGGCCTCTGTATCGATAAAATTGACTATTTCATTAATAAAGTCCAA